CTATAGATCAGTGTTTCCCAACCTTTTTTGTGCCATGCCCACTTGAACATTTCTAAAATGTTTATGCCCCCATACATAATTTTCCCCGACAAAGTTCACTTGACGACTCTAATCGCCCAGTTGATATTTTGATAACGTCAAACAAAATTATACCTAATAAATATTTACAGTACTTTTTTTTTATTTACTTTTTTTATTAAGTTTGGCATCGATATCTACTCGTAGCATTGCATTTAAATGGCTCGGAGCAAGAGGGTTAAAATCGCTTCGAGTCCATTTTTTATTTGCCCCTTCCCCCCCCCCCCCCCCCCTCTTAACTATCAAATTGCCCCCCTGTGGGGCGTGGGCACCACGTTGGGAAACACCGCTATAGACTATATAGCGAGCATATAATACGTTTCATAACAAGCTGCAAACAAGAATACGGCCCATCTGATGCTAAGAGGTTACCGTAGCCTATGAACTCCTGCAAAACCTAGGGCACGATTTTGAAACCTGCAAAACGATTTTGAAAAAACATCTTTACCTCTTTTTTCGGAAACCCCATGCTTGTCTCGATAGGGAGCTCATTCCATAAGTTGCGCGTTCGAGGGATGAAACATTTTTGAAAACGCACTGTTCACGACTAACTAGGCTCTAAGATAATTCCTTCTCGGCGAGGAGCTAAGTTTTTAAAAGCATATCATGTTATCTCAACTGAAAGTGACTATTTAATATTATAATATGCTTTCACAGAATTTGATTAAATCGTTTAAAATTCATCCACATTTATGCAAATTAAATAAATTTAATATAATTTCAAATGTATTTGAGTTATATATTCGACTTTAAATATAATTAGATGAATATTTAAAGACGAATTTCCTCCACAGGCTGCTTATTCAATTTTCAATTACAATTTATTTTTATTCGCTACAATACAGCGTTGTGTTGAATATTTTTACAAGTGACAAGAAGATATCATAAAATATAACAAAACAACAAAAATATGAAGCAAAACAAAATAACCAATAATAATTGTCAAAAATAACATTACAATCAATTTACAAATGTCATTAGTAAGGCATAAAATATTAAAAGATGTAACGGGTGAACACGTTATTTATTGAAAATTGTATTACAATATATTACAATATTTAACAACAAAACAGTATTATATGATATCACAGGACACTCATCGCCTAACTACTCTCTCGTTCGTTAGTCGCGAACTTTCTCGAAGCGCGAGAGGCGCGCTCCTATTGGTCGGTCGCGCCTGCGCTGTACGTTTAGATGGGTCTCACGGCGTAGGTACTTACTATGCGTGCGTAATATATATACTTTTCGGTGTTACAAAGAGTATTATAAAATTCATCAATTGAGTAGATAGATGCACCTTTCCAACAAAAGTGTATAAAGTTTTATTTACAAAATTCTCCAATCTTTAATAGTTTTTAATGCAATGGTTAATTTATTATACAATTTAACCTATGAACTTATGAATTGCAATAGATTAGTTATTTAACTTTATTATTTAAATACTTTATTATATGGATTATATAATACTATATAATATGGATTTTTTTTTAATGGGTGATAATGGAATGGTAACCTCACCCGCGCTATCGGTATACACCGGCGGGGCACCAGTGAAGGATGATAGGTGAGGATGAAGCAGGTCAGTTATGGGCTAATTCGAATCGTGACGAATTCCACAAGAATTGTTCACGATGATTCCCAGAGGGAACCACGTGGAGGTTAACCCTAAAAAGGCATATTGCTAGCAATAGAGCTGTCAAACTCCATTGTTGACAATTCAATTTCCCCCATTCAATATGGATTAATAGAATAAAAATAGCATGATTAATAAATAATGCTTATGCCCCACAAAAAAATCAACTTTTATTATAAAAAAATCAGTTCTTTTGGTTTAAAAACTAAACTAGTGAACGGATTTTGATAAAATTTACTTTATACCAATTTGCAAGTATATCCTTTCAAATAAAAAAAAAAATCAGTTTTTTTTAATGGGTGAAAATGGATTGGTAACCCCGCCCGCGCTATTGGTATACACCGACGAGGCACCAGTGGAAGATGATAGGTGAGAATGAATGCAGGTTAGTTGGCCCGCCATGATGAATTCGACAACAATTAAACATGATGGTTTTCAGGGGGAATCGCGTGGAGGTCGACCTGAGAGGGTATATTGCCAGTAATGGGGCTATTAGACCCCATTACTAACAACCCCTTTCTCTCCCCTTTTCAAATCGGTTTACAGTTATGAGGTAACTAACAAAAAAGGAACCGAATCGGGAACCTTCTTTTTTTGAAGTCGGTTAATAATTGCACTAATAGATTAATCCTTATTTATACCTAAAGATATATTTATTTAACAAAGTATGTTAGAATAAGCACAGAATTTATCATCGATTTCTACACTAGGCTGAGCCTGTCCTGTACGAAACAGTATTCGTTTTGTTTACGTACATAATAACTTTATTTAAACCCTAGCAGTGAGTCGTGTTCCCAAAGTCCTCTGAGATACTCAGCCGTGTTAACAGTGGCATGCAATTACGCACAATAGATGCTCGGTCTTGTACCTGCATATGCACTTAGGTTCTATCTAGCGATGAAGTACCTATAGAGTTTATGGTGGTACAACCAGTTTAATAACAATACTTATTTAAAAAATAACGTTTAACGGTTTTGGAATAACGTTACAGAACGTTAAAGTTAACGTTACAGAAGTAACTAATCAGAGGGAGACTTTGTACAAAAGTCGTTTGCTTGTGTACCTTTGTCCCATTCGTGTTTCTACCGTAAAGCAGTTAGGTTTGCATCGGTTTGAAGGGTGGGACATGGTATGAATTTACAGGGTACAGAAGAATAACATCTGAGTGCTCAGTGCTTGTATTGAAAAACCAATACTTAAGATTAAATTATTATTATTATTACTTTAACAGAAACGGGTAAATAAATAAAATAATTGATAGTGTAGTTCTCTTTTATCACATCTCTTCTGTAGCAAACAGAAAGACAATGGTAGATACCAAAAACAAAAGAAGTATAGAAAAATATAATGGCCAGTAATACCTACGTCACAAATTCATTTTCGCTTTTCGTTGAGCTAATAAAAATGAGCTTGCAGCCCTGGCATAGAATGGAAAACCCTTCCATTTCCCATGTGTGCCATAAGAGGGGACTAAAGGAACTTACGGTCAAAGGATAGGCAACAGCGTCCCTTAAATATCATCGAAGCCTAACGACGGTCGTCAAACGTGGCAACTATTGGCGAAAAGGCTTTAAGGAGAGGCCTATGTTTAGCAATGTTCAGATTACGGCTGATTTAATGAAAATGATGATGAATTGATGGACAAGTCACAGTGAAAATCATATTACAAAGAGCACTTAGCAATTTATTTATTTATTTATAAAAGACACACCAACAATATGCTCACAATAATTAAGCAGACAATATACAATGTTATTAGTAAGTAAAGGAGAAAAACTACTATTAAAAAATGCTTAAATCTAAGTTTGAACAAAAAAATCTTATTCCCCACTACCAAGCTTAACGCCATATGAACACATCAATTAAAGGTGTATACAGCTCTCACAGCTAAGCGTCAACGTACACTAACTAACAATTATACAATTAGAAAAGACCTAACTACCAATCCATTCTACCTAACTACAAACAATTTCGTTATTTTTAGTAGAAATAACCCAATTAACTGTACCCTTCCACTATGATATCATATATTCATATAGTAGGTAACTAATTAAAATGTGTCCACTCAGAAAAGTGCGTAATGTGAGTACGTACGTAGGTGCTTCGCCAGCCGTATGTGATTAGAAATTTTAAGCCAAAATGTTGTTACGTGCAGCCACAGTGTACCAACTCATTAACAATGTTGGTACAAGGTACCTACATATTCATATTACGTTTAATAATGCAAATAACCAAAACAACACCCTTATCAACTTAACAACGGTCAAGCTTTGAAAATTTGATGAACAGTGAAAAAGGGATGCGGAAAGTAGTAGCCATCGTGTTATGGGTTGGATAATAAAATTAATTTTATATGATCATTTAAAAAATGGTACAATGTATCACGTTACGATATGTCTACTGACTTTAAAAAGGGAGGTTTCCAATTCAATTGTATATTTTTTGTTATACAACTTAGAATGGCAAACAAGCTGACGGCCCACCTGACGGAAAGTGGTAACCGTCGCCTATAGACATGAGTAGTGCCATGGACATAACAGAGTATACTGTTTTGCCCATGATAACCCCCCCCCCCCATGCGTTGCCATTCCTGAGGACTCAGGTGTTATTCCTCTGTACTCTGTAAATTCACTGCCATATCTGACCCTTCAAACCGAAACTCAGCCATGCAAACACAACTGCTTCACGGTAGAATTTTTTATCTTTGTTACCTCATAATTTGCAATAAATTTCCATAATATTTGTATTTTTTTCTTTTGTAAATGTGACATTATTGATTTTCTTATACAATATATAGTTTTTTCCTTATACAATTGCGATTTTGTATAGCTCGATAGATGGGGTTGATCATAGAGGACTTATCTTGTTTTACTATTCATTGTTACCTATGTATCACAAAATAAATAAATAATTGCATCAGTTCTAAACCGATTTGGAAAATTCTTTTGTTATCTGAAAAAATATATTATATTTACAGATTGGTTCCATAAAACTGGATTCCTGAGATACAGATCTCTGATCTAGTTTAGGGTACAGTCTCCCACAAGTTTTACAGATCATTGTAGTTATACATACATTTATAGTTGTATTTTTTCATGTTACTGTATTTTTCTGTAAAATTTCTGGAGAAAATAAATAAAATAAAAAATAAATAAATAAAAAATAATTAAAAACTTCCTTAAAATCAATTCAATAGTTTAGCTTTTAGATCAAAGTAACTGATTGTGTTACGATTGAAGCCGGCTTTTTTAAACAATATTTAATAGAAATTTTCAAAATATATACTTACCTGTTATCAGAAATGGGCACCAAGGTGTTAGTAAAAATCTTGAAAATATGGTACATCGCCTTCCACTGATGACTTTAATATATAATGTAATACTTTTTTATAATTCCTTCTTGGTGCAGCTGCAAGTCATGTCGCTTTGTGTAATCAGGTACTGGAGTCCGTGGTTTCTAAAACGCATAATAACCTCCTGTATTGTGCATTCTGGTTTTAAAACAGATAGCTGTTTATTTAGCTCTTATTAGGTGTTGTAATATATAGTTATTGATTTTACTGGGTACAGAGGAATAACACCTGAGTCCTTGGGAATGGCAACGCATGGGGAATATCATGGACGAAACAGTATACTCTGTTATGTCCATGGTACTGCTCATGTCTATAGGCGACGGTTACCACTTTCCATCAGGTGGTCCGTCAGCTTGATTGCCATTCTAAATTGTATAAAAAAAAATATAATAGAAGGTAATATAGAAGGAAGGAGGGGAAGAGGGAGACCGAGGCATAGTTACATCAGGCAGATCGAGGAAGGAGTCGGTGTCGTGTCGTATCAACAGGTGAAGAGACTCGCTGAAAATCGTAGTGAGTGGCAAGAGCTCCACCGACAAGAGCGCAGCTTTCAAATAGGATGGACAGTTTTGTATTGGACATAGATATGACCATACGGTAGGTACTTACTTGTATTAAGTGCGAAATAAATCAATAAAAGAGAATCTCGGTGTATCTCAATGACTATTGATGATTTGAATCGTCAAGTAATTTATTTCTAACACTTGTAATGCAACATTTGTCTTCTCTAACGCTAGTACATGAATAAGTCACATTTCAATCAGATAACCGGAATCTAAAGCAGAGGCGCTACCATAAAATATTTTCAGAAAGTTCGAGGCCGAACGGAATACGGCGTTTTTCAAGGCATTTTCTCCCACGCACAACCACTCTTTGGAATCAACTTCCAGCAGCAGTATTTCCGAACCGATACGACAACATAACCTTCAATAAAAGAGTATATTCCTTTTTAAAAGGCCGGCAGCACACATGCAATGCCGTAGGTGTTGTGGGTGACCACGGGCGGCGGTAGTCACTTACCATCAGGTGAGCCGCATGCTCGTTTGCCACATGTTGTAAAAAAAAACAAATTTGTTTTCTTTTTTTATACAACTTAGAATGGCAAGCAAGCTGATGGCTCACCTGATGGAAAGTGGTAACCGTCACCTATAGACATGAGCAGTATCATGGATATAACAGATGTTTCGCCCATGATACCCCCATGCGTTGCTATTCCTGTTAATTCCTCTGTACCATGATTAATGTTAATGTTACAATTACATAATATGTATACATATACTGTTGGAAAATATTAAAAATTATAAAATATCGATCCATTGCACTTTATTCGAACCATTTGCTGGACGGATTTCGGTTTGAACGTAAACACGAAATTGTGCCCGAAAATTCGGAATTGAATTTCATGGTAGACCTCCAGATAACTAAGCCAATACAACTAGGTAGGTATTATGTACAATTTGTTTTATCAAATATCTTATCACAATAGCGTATTCGTCACAATCTGATAGTGTAAGTACCTATATATTCATGCAGATCATCACGTCTTTATTTTCAAGAGGTTGATTAACAATTTCAATGACGAAATAGAGGCGTGATAATCTATATATATATATATATATATATATATATATATATATATATATATATATATATATATATATATATATATATATATATATTATACCACTGAGGTGGCAAAGAAGCATACGCCCCCCTGACGGTAAGCGGTTACCGTAGCCTATGAACGCCTGCAATACCAGAGGTATTACGCGCGCGTTGCTGACCCTGAAGAAACCTCTTTACCCCCCTTTTGAAGAACCCCATGCTGTAGTCTGTTGGGAAAACCTCGGCAGGGAGCTCATTCCATAACCTGAGTGTTCGTGGGAGAAAACATCTATGAAACCGCGTTGTACTTTTGACTGATTTTGCTAGTCGATAGAATTTCTGACTGGGTAAGAGTTTTGTTTGCGATATATATAGGTAATTATATCACTATGTATTTTTATTCCCCTTTTATTATCTTCCTAAGGAAGGCTATTAAACAAGCTGAAGTGGCAATGGGCTGGTCACATAGCTCGATGAACCGACAACCGATGGGGAAGAAAAGTTCTTGAGCGGCGACCGCGTACGAGCAAACGCAGTGTAGGGCGACCCCCCCACTAGATAGAGTGATGACCTCAAATGCATTGCAGAGAGTTAGTGAATGCAGGTGGTTCAGGACCGTTCTTTATAGCAGTCTATGGGGGAGGCTTATGTCCAGTAGTGGACGGATAGTGACTGAAATGAAATATGTACGTATAAATACCATGTCGTACCATGTACCATGCTCCATAGGCTACGGTAACCGCTTACCATTAAGTGGGCCGTATGCTTGTTTGCCACCTCAGTGGTATAAAAAAAAAATGTCGGCTTAAAATTTCTATTTTCAAATAGTAGCAATAAAAATAATCCCGTAGTCCCGGGTTCCTGGCATCAATAACAAACAGCTCGCACAATAAAGCATAGAACGAACGCGCAACTTCCGTTGTGGGGCGCGCGATTACGCCACTTCCGCTCCGCAGACAATGGCCCGTGGCCGGGCTAGGCACCGCACCACCGGGCCAGTCGATCGATTTACGATTCAATCGAGTTCTTATTATTCTTGGGAACTCTTCATACATATTCGTATCTACCTTGATTCGTTAGATCTTGATTCAGCGATTTAGACCGTTAGGGAAATAAGAAATCATTACTTATCACTATGCTAATGTATATATATATATATATATATATATATATATATATAAATAACAATTTTTTTTATACGACTTAGAATGGCAAGCATGCTGACAGCCCACCTGACGGAAAGTGGTAACCGTCGCCTATAGATATGAGCAGTACCATGGACATAACAGAGTATACTGTTTTGCCCATGATACCCTCCATGCGTTGCCATTCCTGAGGACTCAGGTGTTATTCCTCTGTACCCAGTAACATCACGCTATATCCCACCCTTCAAACCGAAACACAGCCATGCAAGCACAACTGCTTCACGGTTGAAATACGAATGGGACAGAGGTACCCAAGCAATCGACTTTTGTACAAAGTCTCCCTCTGGTAGTACGTAGAAGTTATGTTTATGTATAATATAGGATATGATGCAGTAGGTAGCTATGGCACTTAATTAAATTAACCACATAACGCATTGCCTATTTAAAACTATATTGGATCGTTCGTAACCAATTCAGATCAATGAACCTTATCGGAATCCATCAAACCGTTGTATCAAGCATAGGTAGGTATTAATTTATTAGGGTTGTCACTTGTCAATATAGGATAAGCTGGGTCTAACAATTAAACCCGTACAATACTAGTTTTTACACGCTATTTCATCTGTGTGACCGGGATATGTTTACTGATTCGAATAAAAAATATATTTCTTCTTCTCTATCATACATAATACGTGTATACCAAATTTCATAGTGATTGGTTCAGTCAGAAACCGCCATTAAGATGCTAAAAGGCAACAAACAAACTCACTTCCACATTTATTATATTAGTAAGAATTTGAATGTATGAATGAATGAGTATACTTTATTTGTATTATACGATATAGGGGGAAATCAAGACAATTATTAGTACATTACTGCAGCGGCCAGCAACTGAGGCATTGATGGACGAACGTACAAATGTGGGCCGAGGCGTGAACGAGGCACACATACGTGAGTCCATCAATGCCTAGTTGTGGCCAAGGCTTGTATAGTACTTTTCTCAAACAATGCGCGGAAATCAAACACACAATTTTACTTTTTAAGTTCAATGACGAATAACGAACAATAATGATTTTTCACGCGCCATAATGTTCCTTTGTTTTTTTTTAATAAACAGCTTTCTATTTGCAAGCCAGTTCGAAATTTAAATGAAACCTTTTATTAGTTACCTCCTTAGTAAAGTTCGAAGTATTCGCCATTAGTAGTCATTCCATTTTTAAATTATAGGACAGATATGAGTTTACATAGTAATTTATCTGGCCACAAAACACGACAGATATGGATTTTCATACAACTTTGCCGGCCGCTGCCCGCATGTATCTGTCAAGCATGTTTGAGAAATAAGTATTAAGTATATATATAAGTATAATAGTCAAATAATTTGAATGGCAGGAATTTGAATTTTCTGTAAGGAATTGATTATTTTGACAATTAAAATCTAGCAGGAAGGCATATCCTGCAGAGCGAATTATGACCAAATCGAATTGGAATGAAATCGGAATAATATCGAATTACATCAAATCAAATATAAGTCGATTTGATTACGATTCGATTGCAGAAATCACCCTGCTGACTAAGCTATATACATAGGCGTATTAAAGGGGAGGGGGCAGACACCAGAATTGTCTAGTGTCGACCCCAGGATGCGAGGGAAGGGATGATTAATAACTAACAGTCACATTGCTAGCAATATATCCTATCGTGTCACGGCATCCTTGCAATCTATTTAAAAATGCAGTTTGCGGAACAAACTTGGGCCGCGAATCACCTATCGTCCGTATAAGGCGTCTGTATAACGAGATTGTAAAAACCAAGCCTGAACTTGATATTCATAATGATTGTCACTCTGTGTTCATGGCTAAATTAAAATGTTAATGTACTTCGCCATTATATTATATTTATTTATAATAAATATAATGTAATGGCGAGCAATAAATTTATAATATTTCATTGACAGTGACCGTTATCTGTACACATGAACGGCACCATTACCATCCAAGGTTACTACAGATTATACTGTGACGCCCTTGGAATTCTGGACGCTTTGCGATTCATGGAATTATATAATTTCACTGTCATATTCTAAATGATAGAAAAAAAAAAACAATATTTGTATGTATTATATGTGCATTTCTTATGTGTATATTATATGTATATTGTGTATTGCCTTAATGTGTTACTATAATTGTCACATATTTTTCACCACATCTGCCCTTCATACGCTTTCTGTTTTCACCCAATGGTTAGCTGGTAGAGAATGCCATATGGCATTAAGCTCATCATTTGTATAAAATTTTATTGTGCAATAAAGAATAAATAAATATTTACTATGTGTTGTGACAACCCTACATAATACTCCTAGAGGCGTGACACCTATATCAAAGGGATTAAACTACTGTATGATTTATACTATGGAAACTATGAGTAGTATGATTCCCGCAGCCTCGACAACGCTAAGCCGTTATTCCCCCCATCTCACGGAAATCCTTTCTTAGTTATTATTTATATATATCATTTATATAGGAAAATTTTTGCCACAATTCATATTTATCGGGGGAAAGAGATTGTTAGTAGTGGGGTTTAACTGTGTCATTTCTAATAGTACACCCTATGAGGTCAACCCTCACGGGGTTCTCCCCGGAAACCACTATGGTTTTTTTTTGATGGGTGAAAATGGTATGGTAACCCCGCCTGCGCTAACGGGATACGCTGGCGGAGCACCAGTGAAGGGTCATAGATGAGAGTGAAAACAGGCCAGTTAGCCCATCATGATAAATTCATCAGGAATTAACCATGATAGTTTCCAGGGGGAACCGCGTGGAGGTCGACCTGGTTGGGTATATTGCTAGCAATGGGATTCTCAGTCTCCATTACTAACAATCCCTTTCCCCCAACCACTATGGTTGATCTTGTTTAAGTCGTCACGATGGGCTAACTGTCAAAGGTTGTCTGGAAGAGATTGCTTAGCGATAAGGCCACTTTTT